TCGTAGTAGTAGCAGCAGCAGCGGCAGCAACAGCAGTAGCAATAGTGGCAGAATAGTAGAGTTATGTAGCGGCAGCAAGTCACAATAGTGGTGGTTGTCGTCGTGGTAGTAGTATGAGGACTCAATGAGGACAAGCACGACAGCGGTGGACCGGTGGTTCTTGCTTGTTTATCGTTATGCTGGCATTACTGGTGCCAAAGAACCACCGGGCCTCGCAATCCACAGGCAAGGCAAACCTCATGGTGCAAACGATATATCTAAACTGTTGACTAGAGTCAGAAGCAGAACAGCAGCTATAGTTGTTCACGTGACAAGCAATATGCGAAGAAGGTGATGTAGTTCTGGCTGTATCCTGAACCCGACGTCCCCACATTCCGCCAAGTTGCTGACCATGCCCGTTCGCTCAGAATCAGAATTCGACGCGCGAGCTTCTGGTGCATCCAAGGGCGAAGCCGGTGTAGTTGGGCCTCACAGACCCACCGGATTAGGATGGGGTGTTTGGGTTTAGAGCTAAGGGCTTTGGGGAATGCTCACGATCCGCACGAGTTCGTACGATCCAGAATCACGGAGGCCAGTCCATGAAAGGAGCTCGTTAAAACTGCCAAATCAGAGAACTGCTGCCACAATCGAAGCACCAACACCTTCAGAACAAAGAGTAGCCCAAAGCAAAGAAAGCCAAAAGCCAAGCTTCTTTGGTGGTAGAAGCTGTCGTCTTCTCCTTCACGCCAAACCTGCTGAAAATCTGAGGACTCACACGTCGAAGTGGGCTGGAGCTGCAAGCAGCCGAGTTTGGCGGCGTGGGAACTTGATTCAACAACAGAAAGCACACTTGCCCCACACTTTGTACTATACATCTCTGCTCTGGGAGCTGAAGCTTAAGCCCTGTAATTACGCCCTTGCGTAACCTCTGTTCCAAGCCCGCAGGCGCAAGCTTCGCAAATGCTCCAAAGCAGCCTGTCAAGAAACGGCCGTTTGGCCCAAGGGCGCTTACTTTTATGTCCTAGTCTCTTTCTTTGCTTATCTTCACAAACATTGCGTTTGCCACTCTGCAACTCCGTGCGCCCTTCCCCCGCCCTCTCTCGGCCCTCGGCCCCCTCGGCCTCTGCTCTCTGCTCCCAGGATGTACCCTACAGAGGTAGGACCGGGCCCTGAAGGAACCAGCGACGGGAGACACTGACACTCTGACATCAGCGCACACTCACACCTTTGTCCAACGGCGCTTTACGTGCAAACCCCATCTCAGACCCTGTCGATGGACGGACTTCTTCTAAGCGCTTCGCCCTCAGCCCCCAAGTCCTCAACTTGAACCAATCAGCCAGAAGTCCCATCAAATCCCGCGCACGAATCCAACACCTGACACCCAAAGGTGCACGCGAAGCTTTAACCGACAATTCGCGCACATGCCCCCAAGACGATGACGAGTCGATGCCCAAGCGTGCCTTCTTCGTGAAGCACAGCACCGACCGAAGGCCAAGGTTGAAGACACTGAGATACCTTGAGCTCGGGCTTCGTTGATGTTGATGTTGACGGCTTATAAACTTCTTCGGTTTAAGTTTTGAGCCTGAAGGGCTTGGCATCCTAAGCCCTAACCCATCTTCATGTGCTTGAATCGCAGCGTCAACCCGAGGCCGTGGACTCGAATTCAGCTCTCGGGCAATGAACCCTGAAAGTTGTCAAAGTAACCCCAAACCATTGATCTCTGTTGGAAAGAACTCCCAAGGCCTAAGGCCCAGAAGCCTCAACCCGAAAAGGCGGTACAACCCAACCACTCCCAGCCGTCAACACCTCTAAACCGAACCTGGCGGCAGTAAGCATCTCAGAAGTGCCCGATCGGCCAGGGAGTCAGTGTAGCGGATGGCCAGCGGCCGATAAATCCTTCGAAGCTTGGAGTTTGCAGCACAGGAAAACTGTTCGGCGTCTTAGCCAGCAACCTACGGCTTTAGAAGCTTTCACAGGGCTGGAGAGCTAGGCTTCTGCCATCTAAGCTCTGCAAGAGCCTACCTCGTCCATTGAACTGCGGTCTGCTAGCTCCTTCTAAGCAAAAGGTCCGGGTTTTGGGATTTAGCATTCGGGGTTCAGGGCTTGGGGTGTAGGGTCTGAAGACGATCTCCAATCCCGTAGCCAAGGCCAAGGCGCTTGAAGACCACAACGGTGGCGAGCGCGAGCTTCAGGAAGATCCACCCCAGCGCCTTCGAAGTGCGGAGAGCGTACGAATGGAATCGGTACAAGACACCTCTTTTCTGATAAGGCTTCCCTCAAATTCAATGCTAGTCCAGGACTGACTTACAAGACAGCTTGGCATACCTCTGGAACTTGCAAGCATGTGTATGTACCGCTGCACGGCTGTCTACGCGCATGCGCATGTCACCTCACATACAGACAGATAGACAGACAGACAAACAGACAGACAGACAGAGACATGCATGCATACATGCTTAGATACATGCCTAGATTCATACATGCATACAAGAACTCCCCCAAAACCCTCTAAAGATCCCAAGCTGTTTCTCGGGCCTGCCACGCGAGCCGCGTGAACATCCGGAAGGTGTCTTCCAGCTTCTTGAGCTCGGGATCATTCTGCAGACTCTTACGGCGTTTAGGGCTTTGCGGCTTAAGGGCTTTTGAGCTTTACGATTCTGTGGCCAACTCTTTGTCGCGTCTTGCTGCGCCAGGCGCCTGTAGAGCCCAGAGACACAGAAGAAAGGGATCGCGGTGGAACAAGGCTTAGAACTGGAGTTGTGAGGATTTGGGACATGAAACTGCTCGGGTTCAGGACATAGGACCTGAACCTCAACGTAACCCAAGGTCTACATCTAAACTGCACGAAAAGCCTCCGGATGTGAACATTCACACTGCCAACGCATGCGACCCACTGCCCAAACTTGCTCCCAAAGACACCAAAGCGGACCGCAAAGAAATCAATTACCACATGCATGCATGCAGTCACACAGACAGGACCGACAGACAGACTGACAGACGGACGGACAGACAGACATCGATAGATGGATGGATAGATAGATAGATAGAGATAGACAGAGATAGATAGATAGATAGATAGATAGAGATAGACAGAGATAGATAGATAGATGGATAGATAAATAGGTAGATAGATAGATAGATCGATCGATCGATAGACGGATAGATGGATAGATGGGTAGATGGGTAGATAGGTAGATGGGTAGATGGGTAGATGGATAGATGGATGGATAGAT